GCTAAGTGACAGAATTTCATGGTCATGAAGACAAATATTATATTTTCTCAGTTAAGTTAAATTAAATTCAGTATTAATTTTAACTGAAAGCTTATGCAACTCTCCTTTGCTTTCTTCTTGATCACTAACCTTCATCAGATCTGCTCCTTCAGTCCTGTCAGTCTTCAGCTTCTTTGTCTCCCTCTCTTCCTGTGTTTAGTGAGACATTAATTTTATTAAACTCAGATTTACAAGTACACAACAAAATAATGATCAATCATTTTTTTAACTTTTTTTTTAACTGTTAAAATTCTGTTCATCTGGCTTTTGATGGAGCTGCTGCCTCTTAATTATCTATATACAGGTTGAGGAACTGAGGAATATGAACTTTGTTATGATGACCCTTTCACACAAAGCTTCTTGCTTGAATTTTACCTTAAATGCTGCAGCAGTTTCATTCTGGTACCTCAGAATAGAAAAATTCAAACAAGAACATGGCAAACAGAAAACCAGCTTCAGCCTCATCCTTTTCACTGACATTAAAATGCTGTAAACAACAATATATGGCAAATACTGAAGTCATTCTTTCCAAATGCTTAAGAGAAATTTAAAACAAAGAACATAAAGACCTGTCAAAGACGTTATGTCTATCCCTCTTGTTCGTTCACACTCTCGCACTCACTACGAAGCGAGGTTTAACCAGAGACTCTGTGGGTAAAATTAAGTCAGGTTAGGTTTGTCAGCTAGTTAACTAAAGTTAGTGTTAGCACAGCCTCTTTTAGCTAAAGCTAGCTAACTAGAATTAACAAGCTACCATGTAAAACAGATATCCAGCTATACTGACCATAATGTGCCACAAATCCATACTGTAGGTGGATATATTCACTCTTTCACACTGTTTCACTCTGTATATTTTGAATAAGGTCTAATGTTTATTTTTGTGAGCTTTTAGGCAAAATCCTGTCTTCAGCTCAGCTACTGATCACTTCGCAGTACTTAAACAGAGACCTTCCCCCACGTCTGATATGACTGGCTTACAGTGTATGAGGTCTGATATGATTGGCTTACAGGGTATGAGGTCTGATATGATTGGCTTACAAATGTATGATATCTGATATGATTGGCTGAACGTTACGTTAGTCAATCTCTGGTAGTACAGCAGAGGCAGCACTCCATTAGAGCAGCAGCAGTGCCTCCTCCAGGCAGCGCCCTGCTATTGCAGTATTTTGTGAATGAGAATAAACTACAGATGATTTGGTCCATTTACTTAGAAAGGTAGGCTAAATAACATTTAGGGGTGGCTAAAGCCCCACCAAAATTGGCCTAGCATCGCCCAAGGATGCTGATTAAAGAGGCATTTCAGCCTAAAGCATAAAAGCATTTAATACTATATACTATGTTATGTAAAATTCTGTAGCACAGCATTGCGCCCTTGCACCCTTCAGCCTCATAGGTTCAAAAGATTTTTGTTTTCATCCATCAATGTTCTGTCATTACAGCATCCTGCATGCATTACACAAACATGCCACACAGCCATTTGGAATCCATACCCAGGAAGAGATGGTAATCTGCTGATGTAGAGGATTCCTAGCAGTAATGTAACTGGCTTCTTTCTGCATTAGCTAGCAAGCTGAAAGAAATAACAAACATAAAAAAAGCATTTTAAACAATTATCAAGTATCCTCAAAGTGCCCCAAAGTGCTTGCAGTTCTTGTTTGTTTTCTAGGTGAAGATTAGGTTACACATCCTCTACAGAAAACACACTTCTGCATATTTTGATGCAAAATTACTGTTTATTTGCTGAATTTCACATATTGAGAGAAAAACATATGAAACATAAACATAGCTCATTTTATATTTTAATTTTCATTTTTCCTATGTTAAACTATGTTAGAGCAAATTAATAGGAATTGTGGAATAAATTTTGCAGAAAAATACCATATTTAAGTTTGTTCCTTGTAAGCAACTGTACTGTGTCTACAGAAAATCTGGCCAGTTATTGGACTGATACTGTAGAAATACACAGAGATTAACAAGTTGATCAGTAGTGCTGCATTTAATTATATATAAAAATATGTGTTTGCAGTACACAGAAATGCCTCATAAAGACACTCTGTTAATCATGCAGCGCTATTGCTTACATGTGGCAAGTTATAACTATGCTGCATCATCACAGCTTACCATTAGAGGGCAACACATGTAGGGCAATGTAATGATGAGTGTTGATTTCATCATTTCTTTTGGCCTATTTCTCAAAAGCCTACTCACTTGGGACTCAATCCTACTGCTAAGGAGGTATGTGCTGCACATTTTTGTCAGCTAGTTATGAATTCTTTTTTGAAGCAGAAGCAGAATGCTAAGTACCTGCCTCAGGTGTGGTGGGAACTCAAAGTTAAAATCACTATCCCAGTCCTGTGTACTGGCCATTTTTTATGTTTTCTTTAATGTGTTATATGTGAATGATTACTATTGGTCTTCAATTATTTTCTGTATTGAATATTGTTATATCTTAGAGAAGTGATGTGAAATAACATGATTAAATATATATACTTTTTAAAAAGCTGACTGTTTTTTTAAAAATCATTATTTATTATATTTTATTACATTTATTTCTTTTTTATTGATGTTATATTTTTAGTGATTTTATTATGTGAAATTATCTCACCATATTGGTAGATAGTTTTGCATGTTTCAAGCATGTTTTTAAACAAGCAAAATTATCTGTATAATGATATAATTTCAAGTAATAAAGTTAATTACTTAAAATTTGGAGACATGGAAACAACATCTTGCGGCACAGTCTAATTTTCAGTTTCACACACAGTTGGCTGAAATGAAAAAGAAGGATGCTAATGACTAGTATAATGAAAGTGAAAGCTAGTACATGATACATTGTTTCAATCTGGTTTTACAAAAAAGATGAGCAGTGCAAAGATGCCCTTAGTAACGTCTGGTTTCAGTAAATGTGACTAGTCATTGCAGATGTCGATCAGATATGCTGAAGAAGCCAATAGCTGTTGCACAGACAACATGCAGCAATGGAAAATTACCCTTTCAGGATTTCACAAGATGCAGGCACTACTTAGCATGTTTTGCTCATTCACATGGTAAACTAGACTGCATGACTGCAGTTGCTCAGTTATCTCAGACATGTAAAAGTTATATTAAATTGTATGTACACATTTTTAACATTTTTGTTAACATCATAATGTGTTTGGTGTCTGATGTTTGCTCACTAGCTCACAGAGGCTGTATATTTACACATATTTGTTTTTAAATGTCAAATGCTCATTATGTAAATATGTAGAAACAATATTAATTTAGTATTAGTAACGTCTTAACAAATATTGATGTATTTTCCCCGTTGAGTCGTATCCACCAATGTGAGAAGCCATTTTGCAGACATATCGGCCAATGAATGATAAGCGGGTGTTCCTGATGTGCGCGTTCTTGTTTTACAGAAACGCCTTTCATTGCAATTCGACTCTACTGGGGAGGGGGCTTTTTCAGCCTGTTAAACTATTACGCTTACATTTACACACGCTTCTATCAGAGTTTGATCGTACAGATATGCCAAAGATGAAATTGATGAACAAACCTGTTGGTATAATCTGCGTCCACTCATTTCACAATCGCTTTTAATTGTACACAACTTTCATGAATAATGGACTTTGTGGTTCTATTTAATTTACATATCATTGTACATTCAATAAAATCACAATGTCCATTATTCATGAAAGTTGTGTACAATTAAAAGCGATTGTGAAATGAGTGGACTACAATCTGCTTGGCTTCCACTGTTTGCAGGTTTATATGTAATTCTGAATAAGACCGTCTGCCAAGTTACTAAACTGTAAATGTGAATGTAGTAGTGTTAATATCATCAATAATTAACAATTTAAACAAAGCTATAGCTTTTGACATTTAATTAGTTCGTACACAACAAAACAAAAAACAAAACAAGCTATAGGAGGTGAAGCAGGCGATCACATTTCATTAAGTCATAAAGTACACCGTTCATTCCAAAAAGCTCCAAAGCTCAGAGTGTGTAGATAAGCTTTTTTTTTCCCCAAAAGATTCCTTCATCGCATAGCAACAGCTAGCAATCTTAACAGTGAGGTCATTAATATTGTGCTGACAGCTGGCCCCATACTGTGGAAAAGTGAACCCCCCCCCTCCCCTCCCTTTTTTTTTAAATAAAAGAGAGTGATATAGTACATAGACATATAAAATGGTCATGTAAAAGTGAATGACTATATTGGTTCATTAAACTACACAAACTAAAGAGGGTCCTGTGGCTAAAAAAAACCACTGATGAAAGACAAGGGGATGATGCACAAACTGTGCAGAAACAGACAAGCTGGATAGATGGTAGGCAGGAGTGTCTAACAGAGTGGACAGTAAGTGGACAGTGACTAGCAAGTGTCAATGTCACTGCCGTGCTGAGAATGATCCACCACCCAAATAACACCTTCTCTGTGGTGGTCCTGTGGAACTGGGGTAAAGAGAGGCTAACAAAACAAGAAAGAGAGAAAGAGAAATGGTTGGACTACAATCTGTAATTATAAAACAGTTATGGTCCTGATTGGCTGATTCACATACAAAGCTGTTGTACAACACTATATATGTTATATATATTTATAGAGATAAATCTTCATAATTCTATACATCTTACATTCTTAACTAGACGTAGACTGATCAGCTAACTACCAAAGTTAATTTTTCTAACTTTTGCTGTGTTACCACAATAGTGAATTAAACTGGATGTGATTATTTTGGGAGCTTCATGTCTTATTGCTGAAGTCCAGGCACCCCCAGTATTAACTACCTGAAAATTAAGCATATAGAGCACCTTTTTCCACCTTACCTAAAACAACCTACACTGCTATGTGCTCTTCTTTAAAATTCTACATTTTCACCAGTGATAATGTCTAAATGACAATGTCATGGCGATTGTTTTCCCGATGGCAGCGAACTGTGCAACCACAAGTGAAGAATGAAAGAAGAGGTATAAAAAGTGGTTTACTTTCTCCATTTCAAGTTTTATTCTAAAACAAAAAAGAGGCTTCAACATACTGCTCAAAGCACTGGCACAAAAATAGAAGCAAATAAAATAAAGAAACTATTTCAGTCAGTTCACATTTGTTTTGTCTGTTAGTCCTTTCACACTTGTGTCTGACTGTGGTTTTGGCAATGAGACCGCTCTGATCAGATACAGTGTGTTCAGGGGGAAAACACGTATCAGTCTTCACTTTCTGAGTCTTTATCTCGCATCTAAGTAGGGAGTTTTTATTGTGTGTCTCTGTCACTTCTTGCCGGGGACTCCGTCTGAGTAGTCCTCCAGAACTCCATTCAGATGGTCGTTGTGGGTCTTGAACCGTCTCTTCTTCTGCGCTCCAGGCTTCTTCCTTTTCTGCACGGGTAGCTACAAAAGTCAATAACAAAACATCAGAGATGTGCACAAAGTCACTTAATGAAGACCAGAGTCGAGTACTGAATCTTTATTAGAGAATTATAGTTCCGTCTTAATATTGGCTGCAGACTTTGCCTCGTGTCAGATTCAACACAGCTTTAAACAACAAGCCATTCATTATCGAAAAACCTTCAGTGTAAGGGATAGAAATAAAGTGCTGCATGCAGCTTCAAGCAAAGAGGTAAAATAAGTGAAATGGTTGGTTAGTCTGTAGGTTATATAGCACATAGACTAGCTAGTGAGCACAATAGCCAGTCCAGTCCAAGTTTTACTACATTTGCATCTGTAACTCGCTTTTTTAGAGAGTGTCTCCAAGTTAGCTGGGTGTTTCTACTCTGTGATAAGTGGGGGAGGCGAAACACAATATTATGGGTTAATATTATTTCCCCTCCTTGCAAGTGCGCAGAGATGTAATTGAAAAGAAAGAAAAACATTTTAGAGAGAAGACTGAAGACAAAAGATTACAAGAAAGCAAGAAGTCTTTTGAGTGACATGATGTAATGAACACTATGACTAGGGACTAACAAGGTCAATTGTGAATGCAGATTTTAAGGACATTTGCACATATTTTCTGTTTTCAACATGATGGTTTTGTTTGGATTGCTTAATATTTGGCCAAATTACCGCTTTAATCAGTTCATTTATTAATGCAGCCTCACAGAAGGACTTGTTCATTGTTGTAGTGTTTATTTGCAGGGTTTTTTTACAGCACTTTTGTATGTGGTTTCACAGGTTTGTGCAGCAACACAGATTAAGATTGTCAAGGAATGGTTAAATATATATAAGCAGATATTGTATGTGTTGCAAACTTACTATTTTCTTTGGTCCTGTCTCCTGCATGGAGGAGATGCCCTGTCTCTTCAGGTAATCTTCTATCTTGTCTTCATCTATAGAATCCACAGGAACACTTCTCCACAGCTTCTGGAACTCTACAGAACACAGAACACAAAGCCATTGTTTGCTGTTCAACAGCTTTCAAGAATATAAAAGCCATCTGGTTGCAGATAATTGAATAAAAAGTTATTAAAATATTCTAGTCTTGTAAATAATTAGTAGTACTCTATGAAGCTATATATAAAAGTCTAAATTTGTCAGAAATGTATAAGGCTGTAAAATGACTAAGAAAGCTGTATAACACTGAAAACAAAGTGCCAATAAAGTTAATTATAAAATTAATAATAGTGATGTAAATAGATAATAATAGTACATTACAGTACAATGACAATTTTATTCATCTTGTTCACAGAATTCTTAAAATATTGAATAACACATCTAAAATGACCTTTTGACAAATGATATATAATATTTAAATCCACACTGTATAAGTTATTATATTATACAAAATAACAAAAATTATTAATATGAACTGCGGATAGAACTGACTGGCCACGAAGCTTACTAGTGATTACAAAATCCCAAACCGGAAACGAGATTCAAGGCCCAGATTTGAAGATATCATTTTCCAACGTGAGAATGTCCTGAACCACTAGGAGCTATTTCTGAGTTACGCTGAGGTCATGTTTTTGGTTGGGCCACTTTCTGCTCTCTCATTACATTCATTAGCACTACGTTCACACATTACTGCCATTACTGACCTTCATCTACTTCAAACTGGCAGTGCTTGTCATTGTAAAAGAGAATCTTCTTCTTGTCTGGTCTGGTAACAAATATGATCTGATCACCTAAAGCCTGTACACAGACAATAAAACAAAAAAATTAACAATTAAACAAAATAACAGATTGCCTAATTGCCCCAAGACCATTCACTGATCATGAGAATAAATGTGTCTGCACTTTCAGATCATTGTTTCATTCCTATTATGAGACAACCAGAGATCTGCCATTTTGTGTTTTACTCATTCTGTACTCAAGTGCCAAGGCCATATTACAGCCTCCATGTCCAGGCTGGTTTTCTCTATAGAAATTGCGCCTTGCGGTAAAACAAAAAAACAAAAAAAACAAACAAACAGTTATATGGCCTTATGGACATTTGTCTACCAAACATCACTGGATCCTTTAAATTACAAGGTTGTCAAGAACCTTGCAGCTTGTATGTAAACATTATTAACATTTTGACTGCTAAACAACCTTGCAATTTACAGAATCTAGGACAAAGTGTACCAGATTTGGATAATTTTTCTTTACCACAGGGTGCAAAAGTAGTGATTACTGAAGAAGCCATTCATTTTTCATGTACAATATTTAAGCAAACTAATGCAGATCAATCTTCAACCATTCCACATTATTGATTCTCCAGCATTTTTAATATAAAGCAAGCCACATCATAAAAGCAATATGCAGCAATATAATGTAATTCTAGTACTGTGTCCTTACAATGCAGTCCTAGTCAAAATTTTCAGAAATAAAGTCAGGCTCATTAAAAAAGGGATCATACTTTAATAGCTTTGGCGGCGTTGGGCAGTCCCTCCTCCACATCATCTAACAGCACTCCTCCTAAGCCCAGCTGGTCATGCTTGTCCAGCAGTCTGAGCAAAGCTTTCTTATCTTTCAGATGGTATTTGGGTTTAAAGGCATATTTCCCATCCCTTACGTCTATCTTAGGATTACTTGTCAAGGCCTGGGAAGGTGACAGAGGGAAAGACAGACAGAAATAAAGAAATAAAAGTTATGTTTGCCACAGGAATATCAAAAACTAAATTAAACATAACGATTGGTGACATGAAGATAGTTCTAGTTGGCTGTTTCTATGATGATAATTCTCCTAAAAATTTAGTTTACAAGAAATATGAAAAGGTTTGTCGTGACAACTCAGAAACTTTCATTTAAAAAAGTTGGGACAGTAAGTGAAATAACATAAATAAATAATAAATGAATAAATAAATAAATAAATGAATGAAATCAGTGATTAGTAAATTCTGCTTAAGCAATATTAACAGTACAGTACAAAAACACGATGTTTGATGTACTTGAAACATACATGAACATACACTCATTCGAAATATGATGCCTGAAATGTGTTCCAAAAAGGTTTTGACAAGGGCATGTTTACCCCTGTTACAGTAACTTTCCTTTTAAAAAACATTTTTGAAAACAGATTTTTTTTTCAATCTTCTGTTTAAAAATCACCATGATGTAGAATGTGGCTTGGCATTGTCATGTTGAAACAATCATGGATGTTGTGATCTTGTCTTGAAGGCAGCCTTTGCTGCTCCAAAATGTGTATATTTCTTTCAGCACCAAAGGTGCCTTTACAGATGTGTAAATTACTCATCCCATGTACACTAATACACCCCAATACCATGACAGAGCCTGGCTTTTAAACTTCACTCTGGTAACAATCTGGATGGTCCTTTTCAATGATTTCCATTAACAATCTGCAAGGTTAACCTGTCAGACCACAACACGTTTCCACTGTGTATCAATCCATTTCAGATGAGCTTGAAGTCAGAGAAGTCAGGGGTGTTTCTAGATGTTGTTCACATATGGCTTCCACTGTGCTTCGTGCAATCATAACTTGTATTTGTGCATGCAGTAACGAATGGCGTTTACTGATACAGGTTACCCCAATATTCCTGAGTTAAATGTGGTGATATTAATCACTGAAGCATGTCATGAGATCGAAGGTTGTGGGGATTCAGTTGTGGTTTTTGGCCTTGCCCTTTAAGCACAGAGATTTTGCCAGATTATCTGAATCTTTTAGGGATATTATGCACCATAGAGGGTGAAATATGTCAAATCCTTGCAATCATTTGTTGAGGAACATTGTTCTAAAAGTGCTGGATTACTTGCTGATGCATTTTATTTGGAAGAGACAAGCCTCTACCCATCCTTTTTGAATATTTCACAATGTTCCTAGTCTTAAATTGCCCCTGTCCCAGCATTTCTGGAATGTGTTGCATGCATCAAATTCAGAATAAGCATAAAACAATAAAGAAGCTGTTTTTATTTAAATTCATGTGAAAGTGGACTATTTCTATTTATATTTCACATACTGTCTCGACTGTTTAGAAATTGAGCTTTGTAATTCCACATGCATATACACACAAACCTCGCTCATAAGCCACTGTTTCTGCTTCATGCCAATGTCCAACAGTTTGGTCTCGTCTAGAATCTCATCCAGGGTAAGTGGATGAGTATCACCCCTCTGATGTCTTGTCTGAGAGAGAGAGAGAGAGAGAGAGAGAGAACTGAAATCCATTTTCGTTCACAAATTATAACAAGTCATCACTGACAAGTCTTAATTAGTGCAGTCACAAAAACCCGATTACACAAAATCGTATTAGTGTAAAAATGAAGCGAAATTTGAATTGGTTAGTTCTAGTTGGCTGTTTCTATGATGATAATTCTCCTACTGCTCTCTCTACATAGGGCTGTTTCTGAACATTTGGGTTCCTATTTAGGGCCGCCCACCCATGGCAATCAAGACAACCAATAAAACAATAGACTAGTATTGCAAAGTAGCCATAAATAAAATAACATTAACAGAAATATGAGTCAATTTCCATTCCATTCAGAATACATAAAATGGATAATACGTACTCACAGGGGCCCCTAATGGCTGCATATAACTGCATACACCACCTATAGCAAGAAACAGCCTGATAGACCAATCTGTATGCATTTAGATTTTTAGTCTAGTTTAACTCTTTCCAATAATATGTGGTAGAAATTGTGTCAGTTTTATTACATTACATTGTATTATATTATATTACATGATATGTTTATTTATTTATTTATTGTTTTGGCTGTATACTCAATTTTTACTGTAAAAACAGATTACTTGTCAAAATAATCAGTACTTGATTAGTTAACAGACAGTGACAGCACTAGTCATAATTACTGCCATGTTTTGTTTCAGATAATTGCTGTGATAAACACACTTCAGAAAAACAAAAAAAGTGAGTTGTGTGAATTATTTACAAGCATGTGACTGACAGCAGATGCATGTGCATGAGCATGCAAGCACACACACTCTCCTGGAAAGGTCTGGCACAAACTGGTAAACAAGATGCTTGGGTTGGATTCACAGGCAGGCAGAAGTCTGAGCAAATTGTATTCACCACCTGCTGTTTTCCAAAGTACTAAAAGACAACATGTTGATTCTCTGATTATGGGTTATTTCATCCTTTTGTATTGAGCCCCAGGAGATGTTATGGGAAATATTACACTTGTAAAGCACAATTATCTTGTTTAAACATGACTAACACAAGAATCCTGATGGTTTTGGGGGAGGTTCCCAAGCTTTTTAAGGACAGGAAATGCAATAAGCAAGATAGGATCTGACTAGGGGAAGAGACAGTAAAAAGAAATATATAACACATAATATCACAATTTGTATGAAAAAAATTTATAGACAGAACCCCAGAGTCCCAAAAACTGATATTTTCATTGGATATTAAAGTTCCAGAGAAACGCACACTGTAAAAACACATGATACCTCAAAGCTCTAGGTACCCTTTTTTGAGGGCACCCTCAAACACTTTGAGAAGATTTTTCATGCCTAAAAAGGGTTTAATTTAAGAACCCTAGTTGTTTCTTCTTATATTCTAGTAGATTCTTTGAGTAACCAAATGGTTTGGTGCATACCTACATCCATGAAAATCATGACTCCTGCATATAAAATTTCTTTTTGTTTATAGTTTCAAGTTTCAAAGTTTTATTTGTGACATACAAAGTCATACACGGTACAACTAACAGTCAAATACTTGGATAACTGCCTGCTCACATGAAGCAATAAGGTAATAAGAAACAGCAGTCAAATGAAAGAACAATATTGTAGAAAAAAATAACAAAATATCCATCTATGAAATATATACTATAAACACAATGAAGATATGAAATGTGCAATGTACACATGGTTTCTCGTGACCATGTAAACACTGATACTGGCATTTCTGAAAAAAAAACAAAAAAACAAAAATGCTGCTTTTTCAACAATTACCAGTTAATCAATCATGTTTTTGTCCAAAACAGAAACAGAACTTTCATAAATACATGATGTAAATTACAAATGCAATAATAAACACATAGTGGTAGGCCCCAATAAATGTGTAAATTATCTAAAGTTCCTCAGAGAACTCATTTCAAAAATGATTCTCAAGGCTCCCTAAAGAGGTTCCTTTAAAGATCCTCCTTTAATGTACACAGTGCAGTGTAAATTAAAATGTTATTAAAATGTCTGAATGATGGTAAAATTGAGTGTCATATTAAATATGCAGCACAGTGTAAATGGAAAAGAATAAGAAAAAAAATGAAAATAAAACATGGCTTTAAAAATCTCTTATCAGACCTAAGAACTGTCTGGGCGTAGCTGTAATATACATATCAAAAACAGGGATGAGCTCTGTACTCAAGTGCTTGGTTAACTGAGGTGCTGTTATTTGAGTGCTGAAATCAACATCTGGATATTGACATCTGGATGTATCAACATGGGAGGACATAAAAAATATACAGGTCAAGAATTCACTGAAATGCCAAATTTATGATTTAACAGGAGTGTAAAATGTAGTGAGTTTGCTTGTGTTTGCGAGTATACGTATAGTATTGCCTTTTGCTACTTAAACACAAGAGCCTTAACAGAAGCACATTGCCAAGGACACATCATTAAGGACATGGCCAAACGTCACAGGGCTGTATAGCTAACTAGGCTAGTTGATGATGGCTATCCAGATCCAGAAATGGTGAAATCTATTTCTTTGACAAACTTATGCTTTGTGTAGAACACATCAGCAACCAATGTTGTCCCAGTCAGCTCTTAGATCATTAGCTCATATGATAAGTGCGCAGCCTCCGTTACTAATCCCACACAAGAACCAACTGCTTTCCTTTGGCCATTTTTGAATAGTAAAATGTTTACATTTTATTAACTTATTTCTTTGTACACATCTTGATTTCAGCTGTTTTTTGTGTTGTTGTTGTTTTTTCTTCCCTATGGTTAACCGAATATCTGATTATTAACTCTTATACAAAAGTTGTTAGAATCTATCCCTGATTTAAATTATAGCTAGCACACAGGCGAGTCCCACCCCTTCTACTGATAAAGCTTGCAGGAAAACTGATATTGTTTACTATTCCTTTTGTCAAATTGAACATTATTTACCTTAGTTTATAATTTCAGTAAATATCCACAAAACTAAATTAATTTGCCTTTTAATGCCTTTTGGAAGCTTAAACTGAGATCTATGGACACTTACAACATCTTTGCTTCAGCATCAGCTTGTTATATTTGTACACTTTGCACTCTAGTGCTGGTAACGCATAACATGAATCAACCGCGAACACTGTGACTCAACTATGATGCTGGAGAGTTTGTCTAAACATGCGTGTTACCTTCATGTAATTAACAATTCGTGCCAGAACTCCAAACTTGTAGCCTGAGCTCCCAGAGAGAGCTTTAAGATTGAAGGATCCATTACTGGAGTCTGAGGAAAGAACAAAAAAAAAGGAAGATTAATATTTAAATAAACATAATTTAATAAAAGATGATTTAACAGCTTTGATATAACATTCACTCAACTTTTATTTGTATTATGTACAAATTCTACAGATGTCCAAATATTCTTGACAGTCTTAAACATTAGAAAAGTGGATCTGGCACAGTCTGCTACAGTAGAGGAACATGAAACATGCTCACTGTATATGGATTGCATTTCCCATTAGTTTATGCATAAGACGTAAAGACGTAGGAGAAAATATGGGATTAAATAAAAGATCCTATCTGTTTAAGGCATAGGTGCGCTAACACAGCTGCTATTGTGAGTGCTCAGAGACAAAGTAAACACAAAACAAAGTAACCACAAACACATTTACTTAGTTTGACAAAAAAAACCTTCAAAAACAAAAAAATACATCTCATTCTTGATTTGAAGACGAACTTACTAAAAAAGGTTTTAGAAAATCTATTCTTCAAAATGCTATTGCTTAATATTTTGAGTGTTACAACGCTAAAAAACAGATTCATTTTATAACATTGACGAGCAGATTTTGCCTTAACAATAATATGTTTCAAAATAAAAAGTTAAAAATGATCACTTATTTTCTCAAATTCTGAAGTATTAGGTTAAAATAATGTCTTATTTTCTAATAACTAATAACATCTAAGAACTAATAACATCTAAGCAATAACTGATTTTTTCCGACCTTCCGTCAGTGTTCTGCCTTACTAGGTCAAAATCGTGTGAAAATAAGTCATCATTTTAATATAAAGTATATATACATACACACACACACTGAATTCATCCCTCCCTAAATATTGAAAGGTGCACATCCTCCCCGGCCCAGCTTAAATCTGTCTTTATGACCACAGGACTACAGCTGTGCCTGATACACTCGTACCATTTCCGCAATAATGTGTTGACTAGTCCAGCACTCAAATTATATCTGGTCAGTGGTGCTTCCATGGGTGGGTCCTCTGGTGTTTACTTTCAATTGAAGGGGTAAACGGAGGAAAATTAATCATGCAGCAACAAATCAGCTACAGTTAATAATTGTACACTTACAAAGTGTATAATTGCACTTATTTACATACATAGTAGTTGCTTCTGATAAAACGGTTGATGAGTATGAGTATTTCTTGTGACATTTACATTATTTTGTACAGTGGACCATCAAAAATAATGTATGACAGCAATACGCTGATCAAGAACAAAGATCAAAAACACAGTAATTTTCAAACGGCTAAACAAGATAGGGAAGTGACCTCAGTTGTTCTTTAACACTAAATTAAAACTCGGTTCAATTCAATTTTATTTAGCAATGGTGCCTCAAAGCAGGCAATAAGATCCCTAATATGCAAGACTATTGCAACACTGGCAGAAAAAACTCCCTGAGTGCATTACTCTGGACAGATCTATGATAAATGAGATAAGCAAAGGCATAAACAGGGTATCATTTAAATGAACAGAATGAGGAATATAGTTAGTGTTCGAATAAGGTACAAATAAGCTGTCTACAACAAGAAGCCACACTGACTCCAAAGACCAACATCAGCATCAACACAGGCTCCACCACCACTGCTGGAAGCTGGCCAATCAGAGCATGCTTCATGAATTATTCACCATGTCTGAGGGGAAGGGAGCCTACTGCAGGGTGATAATAAATCAGGGCGGTCTTTGTGCTGAGTGATGGAGAAATTAGCCAGTAGTGTAGCAGCAGCAGCTGCGGACGACCTGGCTATACTGCAAGGAGGGGCTGAGAGCGTGACTGTGGAATAGGGCGGAAAACACAGACAGAAGGAAGGAGACAAACGGAGAAAAAGAGAGAGAGAGAAAGGTGGGAAGGGCAGAGACACAGACGGATATCGAACTGGTATTTCCAGCATCCTTCAATTTAGACATTCAGGTACGTTTTTTCATTACATTTGCTAGCGCATCAAGAACTAGCTCGGTCAGCTAGCCCCACAAACCCATGCACACACCCACACCCACAGACAGATGCTGGTAGGATGCAGACACAGAAAGCTGACACAGCAGTTCTAGGAGCGTTTAGAAAGAGAACTAAATGTGTTATAAATAGACAAATGCACAGGCAGCATAATCCTGTCTAATGCTAACATACTTACTAACTACGAAGTGCAAAAAGCTAACAAGAACAACTGAAAATTGTTTAATTTAGAAAGGCTGTTCACTCTGATGTTTCTTTTCCTAGAAGTCATCACCTCATCTAAACAAACCACTTAAGGTTATTTAAGCTGATTTGAAATGTATTGCTGCAGTCAAGTCAACATCATGTCTAAACACATAAATTATATAAAACACAACAAAAAAAAGAGCTAAATCTTCTACTGAGGCACTGGCACAAGGTCTGGTTTCAGGAAAAAAAAAGACACAGACACAGCACTCTGGCACCTCCTAAGCTGTGGAGAGGAACAGTCCTTTGAGACCTAGAAAAATGGAGAGCCATCTGTCTGTATGTATGTTACAAACAAGGTTGTGGGGTGTGAGAGAGAGGGGAATAGACAGAACTAGAGGGAGAGAGGAGGGAAACAGGGCAAGACAAACTCAAGAGGCCACAAGATAGGATGTAAAGCAACAACCTCTCAAGCCTCCTGAAAACAAATGGTCTATGTGTAAAACCTCATTAGCCACGTATTTTCTTTCAGTGGTATAGTGGTGATAGGAAACAGACAACCAAAGCATTGATTGTGTTTTTTAAAGCAAGCTCACAGAAAGCTACAAATTACAAAAATGTGACAAGTGAAATGTGTAACAATACACAATTTCCACAATACAATAGGCATTGGCGTTTCTGCCTCCCGGTACGATACATTTCCGATACAGAATTAGAATACAAATAATAGACAAATGCTAAGAACTTTCACATTATTTATTTTTTTGCGAGTCACAATTTTTTCCCCCCATAATTCACGAAGTAGTTCCCAAACACAGCAGTGCTTGTTTGAGTCATTTTCTCAGAAGAACAAAAGTTCAAGATCTGCGTTACATCTTGCAAAAGTCTGCTTGGAAAATGTGTTATTAAGGCTAATAAAATAGAAAATTATGTAACTGCTGCTCCATTTATGTTGGAACAGAAAATCTAAGTGCATTTGGGGGATGTGCTTCACAAACGAGTTAGCATACTTAAGGTATTAGCATGGATGGGTATTAGGCTTGGGCAATAATGTAAATTTAGACAAACGATTATCGTCTGCAGAATTATCGCGATAAACGAGATCATCTTAAAAATTTATTTACGAAGAAAACCCAAGGGAGTGGGCCTTTCAGTCACGTAAGCCTATGTAAGTGAACTGCTGCATCATATTGGAACAGCAAAGGAGAATTATAGCAGTGAATCTTAATTCTGGAAAAAACAGTTATGTTAGATGAATATTATTATGATTATAGTCTTTAACAACCTAGATTGTTTCATACACAATTAACATTATTACACATCTCAGGCACCGCTGTCTTGCTGAAGTACTTACAGCTTGACAGCTCGTACTGTGAAGTACTTACTGTATTGCTGCCTTTGGTGATGACAGGTTTTCTGCATAGACGGCATGTAACACTGTTAACATCTAATGGTTCTCCGTGTTCGTCTGGTTGGAAACCAAAATATTGCCAAACAGGCGCAGTGACACCCTTTTCCTGAACAAGCTCATCCATTTTTCACCGACTAGGGAGCAGGTCACATGTAGCGGAGTATTTCATCTGCATATACCCAGCATTCTTTGCCAGACTGAAACGCTACGTTCTAATCTTTTAAAGTGGTGTTTCGAAAATTTATATTTGTAATTATTAGTTATGTTTGCATGGTCTATAATTAAATGCCGTCTTTTCTGTTACAGCTTAGGTCTAAAATTTTAACCTACCATAGATTAGAATACTTGTAAAAAGTCAATGGTTAAATACAAAGAACGACCAAAAAAAGTCACATGGCAAGGGTACATGATAAAAAATAAGACGACAATTTACTTAATATCGTCACTGGTTGAAATTATTGCGATATTTGATAATATTGTTTATCACCCCAAGGCTAGAGGGTATACCAGTGTTGAGCAATGTTGCCACACTGTTGCATTTGATCTGTCACTTTTTGCCCATCATAATTGAATAGGATACCAAGGTAATCCCAAATAGAAGATGAATGCGAGGATGTCAAACAGTTTGGCTAATCAGCCATCCAAGGAAGGCTAAGGTACTTCCAAGAGCTGCACAGTGGAGTTTGTTTTACGTTCACGGTTATAACTGTTAAGAGTATTATGGACTGTATTAAATAGAAGCCATTCTGGTGTCATGCATTTTATAGCATGAAATCTAAATGCATTCGCACATGAAATCTTTGCGAAGTTGTATTGTGACACCCCTATTACATATTAATATAAAACTCAAAAGCCTATATTTGAACTACAGACACTACGACCCTTGGTTCTAAATCACCAACCACTGCGAAGAAAATATGAATGTTAGTTTCTCTTAAATGCACCAATTAATATCAAAACACTCAGAATGACATTGCTTAGATCTTAACAATTGAATTGAGCATCTGACAACAGAAATTTTGGGGAAAAGAAAAAAAAAATGTGTGTGTGTGTGTGTGTGTATATATATATTATATATATTATATATGAAATAAGTAAGACAACATTGGTGTTTTTCTGTAATTTGCACCAACACTAACCAATAACATCATCATGTTTTATTTTTCCCACCCAGCATTCTCAGTGATCCTTGCATTTCACTCGCAAGTATGTCATGTCAAAATGTGATATTTCCAATTCAATTTGACTTAACGTTTGTTTCTTTAGCTTTGACCGCATAACCAGGAAAAAGAAAAAGACTATTTTTTTAAGAGCTAAAGGAAATGTATAATTTTTAATTTCACAATACGCATCAATACTCTGAATCGACAAAATCACATTATAGACATATGGTTGGATGCATAGTTTTGCTTTAAAAGGACAGTGTATTGTTACACCTCTAATAAAGGGACTTTCCTCCCATATCGTGTTTATGTAGCATTAGAACTGGAGATGCTTGGATCACATTACACAGTTAACTAGATTACATCCTGCACTAGCTCTCCAACAGCAGCTGAAATGCACTTAATCTATAGACTAGAATCAACAATATACACTGAAAAGCCAACATCAGTTTGTGAAATGATGCCACAGACAAAAACTCTTAGATATGCAAAATCCCACTGTCACACTCACACGAACTGTCACTCCTCTTTACTCAGCTCCAGTCCAGCCAAGCAAATCAGGTCAGTGATTCTCTTTTTTTCTTTTTGTCATTTGTTTTCTACCTCTGTCTCTTTCTTCCCTTCATTCATCGCTCCATCTCTATCTATCCCTCTATCCCCACCCATCTCTTCAACTATCCATTTACCCTCTTCTCCACCCCCACTCCTCCATTTTTCTCTTTGTCTATCCCTCCCCGTCCCTTCATCCACACATCCTCTACCTCTCCCTTCATCCACACATCCTCTATCTCTCCCCAACCATCTCCCCACCCCCCCCTTCATCCACCTATCCCCTTTTCTTTCCCTTGATTCGTCCATCCATCCCTTTATCCATCTTTCCATCCTCCCTTTCATTTCTCCCTCATCATCTTTCTCTTCATCAATCCCTCCCTCAATCTTTTATCACCCTCCTTCCCTTCAACTATGGATTTCTGCAGTATCCAACCACTTCTCTTCCACCATCCACCCTTGTTTATATCCATTTCGCCCTTCATCCACACTTCTTTATATCAATCTCTTCCACCACTCATCCTTCCACATACAAATTTTCTCTCCAATCATTCATATATATATTTTAATCTATTTATCTATTAATTCCTCTCCTCATCCATCTGTACATTTTTGCATCCATCCTATTGTCCATCTCTTTCTGTCCACCCCTCCATCTCTGTTTCCATTCCTGTCTTCACCTATCCATCAATCCTTGTATCTACTCCTCCACCCACCCCTCTCTCTCTCTCTGTAGAGCAGTATGAGTGTATCCAGCAGTGGAGCTGCGCTGGTGCAGCAGGTTTATCCATTCCATGATGGCTGGAACATCGCCTGCTTCATCATCCTGCTACTCTTCATCCTCACCGTCCTCTCCCTTGCCACGCTGGCTTTCCTCTACGAGTTGCTCGACTGCGGCTGCTTTGCAAAGTCCAAAACCGCCCATGACCGACGCAACCAGAACGATGAGGTTGTGTAGCCAACGAGAGGAAACCAGCCAAACAGCATGATAAACAAACCAGGAGAGGCTGCAAAAATGCCACAAAGAGCTACGAGAGAGACTGGACAGTGCTCTGAAACACAGACACACACACAGGATGCCAAGACTGAAGGAATGAGCAGTGCACTGAAGGAGCTCTCGATTGGTCATAAACATACAAGTCTGTACAAAATGTCATTCTTTTATTTCTTCTCTGATCTGTTTTGGTGAGTTATAACAGCATTTTGTTCTGTCCTCTCTGGAAATACCACAAATTTTACTAAAGGTCTTTAGTAATGCCTCTGAAACCAATTCATCTTGACCACTCATTAAACATATAAGAATTGGGGGCAACAGGAGGTAACCATGCACAGTTTAAATGAAACTTTGCTTTCAGTCATTAGCCAGATTAATAAAACTACAACTGCCAATAGGTCCTATACTAAACCTTGATACATGCCTAAAGCGATAGATTAAATGAGGTTCTACCTGCAGATCTATTCCACAATGGAGATGTATGTTGGACACACAAAGATATTCCAGTGTGCCAGGCATTTTTCCACTGCACATAGGCAATGCAAGTTTTTTTATACAGCACCTTTCATACACTGGGGTCATTTAAAGTGCTTTACAAATGAGAAAATACAAAGATACATATAAGAAGAACTGACCCAAACGGGAACCACCAGGAATGCACAGTCCTAGTTATAGTTCTGGCTCATGGAACAGTTATGGAACAGTCATAATATCCACAATTAATCATTTTGATTGCCTTTTTGGTCATGTTTATGCTACAAAAAAGTCTAAAGTGTTTTATTTGGCTAATTAGCCACATTGCTATCTGGCTCAATTTACGGGCTATACAAGGTTGTACTAAAATGAAATGACGTATTGACAACGCACACTCACAAAAACGTGTACATTTACATAGAATCATGTGTAGAATCAAACAAGCTCAATTTTCATCTCTTGAAAGAATGAACTGACATATTAACTATCATGGTTACTAGTTAGCTTACAGGTGTTACACTCACATAAATGTCTGCAATTACACAGAATCCTGCGCTAAGCTTGTATTTTTGAGCAAAAACATTTGTTCTCTGAAAGCTAGCATAAATGCTAATAATGCTAGTGTTAGCTTCCTAATTAGCTTGTGCCGCCTTAGCAAACTCTTTTCAAGAAAATAATAATTAGAAAAATATCAATTTTCAATACAGCCTACACACAACATTCCATGCAAGTTCACATTCGAACGCACTTGTCTGCACTACTGGTCATGTAATAGTGCTTGGTGACTATCGTCACATGAAAGCGTACAAAATTCACTTAACTGTTGTTAGCTTCAGCTTCAGGTGTTATCAAAGACAGGAGAAACACCCTAATGTGGCATATTGGCATGTTGAACAGGCACAAAAAACATAAAACTAGAACCTTTGTTATTAAATTGATAGCCAAGTGAAAAGGCTCAGTTCCAGTTTTCCTGGGTCTAAGGTTCTAGTACTTTGTGAGCAGAAAACATCAAGCAATCACCTGTACTACTCTGACAGTAACAGTAATGAACAGTAATGAATCACAATCATGGGCCTAGACTGGGCAATTGTAATGTAAAACTCAGGTCATACATCTCATCAGACGAGATGTATGAGATGTATGAGATGCCAAGTTGTGTTTATGAAACTACTTTTATTGATATACCGCAATATAAAACCCAACGATAACCAGAGTTTCAAATTTGAATTATTCCGATAAACACACAGTTTCTTTTATAAAATGTCACGGTGGAGCTAGTTAGCCTTCCGTTCCAATCTTATTACAAAACACAGTCTAGGCCAACACACGATAACTTTAGCCTCTTTTCTACTGCAGGGCTGAACAGTTCTGAGCACGGAGAACAACCATTTCAGCAGGATTTCCACACAGACACAGTCTGACACAAAATTAAAAACTGGACTGTGTGGTTTTCTCAACACGGTTAGCTAGGGCCACAGAACGGTTCAGTGGGAGGACATATTGATGTAGCTATTCACTGATTGGTGCTATGTTTATGTCGGTATGGGGCCCCTGCATCCTGCTTTATTTAAAATCCAAAAGCAATCATATAAGTTCAGCTCGCTTATACAGACACTAAAACAGACAGCAGTGCACAATTTGAAATTCACCTTTCAATAAATAGCAAAGCTTCAATCTAACAACAATTTCTAGTTGCTAAACAGTGCTGCTAACCAGGAGCGAGTAGCTGGATAGTATTAGCTTAGCTAGCATGCTGCCAGCTATGCTCACTACAGAGCAGGTTTGATTCTGACTAACAAAAGCTTTACTGACACAAGTTTGATGATAATGACTCAAACCTGAGGAAGCAAAGTTGAGCTGCTGGCATTAGAGGGACAGAAAGCCAATAATTAGCTTGTTCTGTAAAGTATGGATCTATAGCCTCCTAGCTAAGCAAATGCTAGCCAACTCCTCTTTCTTAGCTAGCTTTGAGATCCAAACACCCCAGCACAGGTTTTATGCGACTAACTGGTGTTCTGCTATCACAATTTCTATCAGTGAAGGCAAAGTTGACTGAGTGACTGAAAGCCAAAATCAAAGCTGTTCTGTTGTGTTTTAAGCTGTAACTTAGCTTGCTGGGCTAAGCTAATGCGAGCGTACGGTACCTCCCACTGCAGTACAGGCTTAGTTCCATCGAACTGACGCTTAAAACCTGCCTTTAATACAGCTTCAGTTCTTTTCAAGAGACCTCCTTTTAGCTTTTAAAAGAAATCCTTAGCAATCTTTTTTCATGATTCTTGTAAACATTCCCAAGGTTCAGTCTTAGGCGTTGGCTGCATTTTCTACTTTTAACAGATCTAAATAATCGAAATTACAAGTTGAATGGACTGATGAGTCTTACTTATTCCACATCTCAAATGTCTAATTTCAGCATCCCAGTGCAAAATTTCCTCCTTTGTTAATATTTCCTTTTTTCAGTAATAGTGTTGGGACATACATATCCTACATGTCCTTGAGAAGATCTTTTAAAGAGCCAAGAGTGTCAGCAGAGGACACAAAAGTTAAGAGTGGAGAAATTAAACACAAATAGATTTGATGTTGTACTTACTCTTGGAGTCTTTTGTGTAATTTTCTGTTAAATATGTATCCTGCATTTTTCTGTCACGGTCAAAATAAATAATTGTACTTAATGGCCATTTTGTGTTTAAATCATTTAGCACAATGGTTGCAATGAAAAAACAAACTAGACAAAACTTGGTATACCGAATATCTATAAAGGATATCTCATTTACTTGCTTATTACAGTTTCAAACACAGTGAAATACCTTTTGAACTTTAAAGTATCGTTAAAACCACGGTTGATTACAAACAAAGGCAGAATCATTGGCTCAGATGCAGCTCTGTGTGTGTGTAGAGGGGAAGGTAGAGGGGGAGAGAGTGAGAGGGAGAGGGAGAGAAGGGAGAACATGGCGGAATGTAGTGACAGAGATTCAGAGATATTTCAGCCTTCTAAGAAGACCAAGTCTTACATTTGGTCATATCTTGAGTTTTATAAGGATGCAGAAGGAAAGTTAATTGAAGATGACCACGCTGTCAGCAGAACATGCCAAAAGAAAATAGCGGTGATAGGGGGCAACACATCAAACCTTACGAGTCATCTTCGTGACCACCACCCGCTACTTTTTAGAGAATCCAAGGTTAACTTTAAGTCTGTGGGGACTTCGAACTAGAAGAAATGTCATGGTTTGTGTGGTTTAACTTATGCTTATGGTTCGTTAATAATGTTAAATGAAGCTTATTTCTGTGGAGCAGTGTCTCCAAAATGAGCTCTGAGTTAACAGTCACGCAAGCTCTGGAACGAGACGCTGCAGAAAGTTCAATCTGCACAGCTCCCCTTTCTCGTCTTGCTTGCAGTGTTTACTTTCTGAGAAGAGAATAACTGTCTCAAATCACTCAATGTCCCCTACATAGTGCGCTACTTTTCAAACAAACACAATCATCATTAACAAGCAGCTGAGTTTTAAATAGGGAATTTGTAACCTGTTGTTAATGTTGATTATAGATGACTTAGTCGAACATTTCACGCACTCTTTGGTTGAAGGATTTGCTATTTCATGATCCACGAAATGCACTACATAGGGAAGACAGTGTGCTTTGAGACGGGCCTTGCGCAAGTGAATGCTGTGTGCTGCTTTTAGGAAAAGCAGAGTTTCAGAGATTAATCTTTAGGAGTGTTTCTGCCACAGCTCTGATGCATGTTAATTTTAAGTTATGTTTTAGTTTTAAAATGCTTTTAGAGAAGCAGCTCCACAGGTGAAGACACACTGTGTGAGTTCTACACTGTCTGCAGCTCACAGCATGGTCACGCAATTCCTCTGTGATTTTGGCCACCTCAGAGTTGGTCGAGATTTAATTCTCTATGCAGGGAAATCCCTAGTTATTGTAATTAATAATAATAATAATAATAATAATAACAGTAATAATAATACATTTGCTATTGCTACAAACATATTGACTATATGTTTATGCAAACAAAAAGCACATATTGCTGCCAATTCTATTTGTGTTAATATAAAAGTTGGTGAGTTTCAGTTTGTGTATCAGTATTTATTTATTTAACTTTTCAACACATTTGAAAAATATCGCGATAATACCGATAATTGTCATAGTTTTGGTCATGATAATCGTGATATGAAATTTCAATATTGTTTCATCATCAATACAAATGCTGCTTTTATTTGTGAGCAATTCAGCTGATAGTGGTGTGAGTGTGAATGTAACAGGGGTTCCTAACCTTTTCTAACTCACAGTCTAAACAACCAACCACAAAAGCTTCTGTGACCCACAAGACTTTATCAGCCAGATAATTTAAAATGCATACAAAAATAATACAATAATCAATGTAGCCTGTCAATTTTCTTTGATTTTATCTCCAAAATCAGTTCAAATAGAGCCTAGAGCCGGGCGATATGGCCAAAAACGTTATCACGATAAACAAAATTCATATCATTCGATATCGATACATATTGCGATAAATGTCAAATCATGATTTCTTTCACGTTTGAAGGCTGATTTTGCTCCTGGGTGGTTACCTGTGGTTTTAAACTATCACTTATGGTCCGATCATGACAAACACTCGGCAAACAGTGGAACATTTCACAAATCTGTCTTGGGAGAGTGGGAGAAAGTTTCTGAGCTGTTTTTATCAGCTGGAAAAGCACAGCTGCAATTTTTGTAATAGTCATGATTTAAGAAAGAAAACAGATTATTTTTAGCTGTATGGTGACGAGCGCTCGGCTACCCCGTTACAAATGCTAAACAAGTGGCCAACAACAGTGCTAAACTCTTTAGTTTCTCAACAACGTCAACTCGGTTCGGTAGGTCACTGCTGTCACTCCTACCACATCCATGTCAGAGCAGATCACAGTATTCAGACACCAGCTAGCGACGACTGGATTTCTCTATGCTATCGTAGTAGTTTAAGGGGTGAACCGCAGTATATCTGACGTTCGCTGTGTAAAAGCATTATCTGCAGTGTGAATCTCTCGCACCAGTCACAGAGTCCTCCTTTTAGGTATGTTTAAACTGAAAGCGGTGATTTTGTGTCTTGTTTGATCTACCGTATCATCAATTCACCGTGTTTTGCTGGAGCGCTGCTTCAAGTTAGCCAGCAGCTAAAAACAGCTAGCCTGGAAAGACAGCGCTCTCCCGCTCTCCAATGCCTCACAGCTTCCTCGGTTTACTTTCGAACATGAACCCACTTCTTTCTTTCACTTTCGTTGCTCGAGAATGCACTAATACTAAAATATGATGGTTTGGCGCTGTAACACGGCGCTGCAGACGTGATTTAACACCGCTTAAGCTTGTTACGATGTTGAGGTGAGTTCACCGTAGGACAGTGCAGTTACACCACTGACCTCGTCACTCACACGCGGTCACAGGAGAATAGATCGCCGATAACATCCACTCAGACAGGGAATGTATAACTCCGCGTTTCAGCCGTTGCTAAAGTATATTTGGCTACCCTTTTTTTACTCGTGGCCCCCTCCCTCTCTAATCAAGTTGAAAAATTCGGAAGTGCGCCCTCTCCTGGCGACAGCAGTGTAGTGTCGCTTTCCTTGCAGTAGAAAGAGCCACCAGGGCTTTCGCTAAAACGTGGAAGTGTGAGAATGGTGTATTATATCGAAAATTTACCGAACCTGTCTTATCGCTCTATCGATGAAAAGTTATATCGCGATACTTATCGTTATCATTTTATCGCCCAGCCCTAATAGAGCCTAAACTGAGACACCTACATCCAGGCTGTTTTCAAAAGCTCCAGCTCCTGAATAAGGTGGTGAAACTCTCCATACTCCTTTTACTTTTCCAGAATGGAAAGGAACCCACCCAATGTCATCATTTGTCCTTTTTATAAGGAGCAAAGATATCTTTGTTGCTTAAAGACATTCTGCCTGATCGTTTTTCAGACCAAAAAATGAGGTCGATCTAAATATGCCACTCTATTTTAGTAAAAAATATATCATTGCTGTGTGAAGAAAACCTCATATCTCCATTTTTGTTGTTCTTCAGTTTTGACATAATTTGAAAATACCTGTCGCCCTTTAAATTATGTGTAAATTTCATGAAGAATGAGAACAGCCCAAAATGACTTGGAGAAAAAATCTGGATCCACTGACTTACATTAAAAGTAAAGTAGGATTTTTCCTTCCTTCTTTCCTCCTGTAAAGTTGCCATTTTGGAGATATGAGGTTTTCTTCTGACAACAGCGATATACATATATTTAAATTACAATATTTAGGTTGGATTTAAATGTCTAAATATTGATTCAAAAAAATTATGGTTAACTAATAAGGATATGGTGGCCGGTGTTCGGTGGTCAGTGAGGGAGGCACTAGATAAATTTGCGCACTACAAAATAACACATTTTTGCAGATATTTGCAGATTCAGATATTATTATACACCTTTCAAGTTCCAGAAAAGAGGATTAGTGGACAATGATCAATGTTGGTCACATAGAGGGGAAGAAGGCACCTTCCCACATGCCTATCTGGAAGCAAATCATCGAAGGTCTTTGAGAGTGGTTAAAAAAAAAAAGCTACCAGAAGTCAGAATGGTCCAAATTAATTACAGATGCAGCCTCTTAAAGAGCCCTGGTTGAAAAGGTAATGATTTTCAAGGGAAATTTTATCAGGTATCTGGGAAGCAATGCCACAGAGAGAAATACTATAATGCTGATACGTGACCCTAGAAACAGTTCTTCACAATGTGGCTTCCATTTTGTGATTAAACTATTTAGCTTAAATGTCCTGAAGTTTAGAAATATGAATACATTCATATTTTATATATTGATATTTTAGCTCTTTTTAAGAATGGACCAAATAGTTGATTTGGCCACATCTAACGTTTTTGCCATCTCTCTGATTAGTTAGTTTAGTTAGTGTCACATTGACAGTTTGCAGATTTAAAATGCAAATGTCATGCTTGAAATCAACTCTAGACCTTTTATCTGCTTGCTTACTTTTAAGTGGAATAATGAGGGAATAACACACACTTGGCCACAGAAGAGCTGAGCAGCCCAAGCGTTTTTAAGCCCCTAAAATATGTGGGGGGATGTATCAATTTTACACCATTTAGCTGATTTGCATGTGAATACCTTTGAATTAAAGCATACAATCTGCACTTTGAGCTCATACTCATTATTTAATTTTAACTCCAATATGCTGTGGTAGAAAGCTAAAATAACAAATAACTTCATCAACATTCAAATATTAATGGACATGAATGTACATCAAGTTTTTTGCTGTAAATTTCATTTGGAAAAAAATATAAAATTTGGATCGCAAATAAGAGATTATTATTTTAAAGTTATATCTACATGACATCTATAGTACATTTTGGACAAATCTTTGAACAGTTTGTTTTCTTTAGTTTGTACTGGAGCTACCGAATGTAGCAAATCACCACCATGTTAGGGTCACTGCAATATTGAGAATGATCCACTACCCAAACATTACCTGCTCTGTGGTGGTCCTGACTTTTCTTTGGGGACTATTTTGCCTTATAACACATTGCATATACCTCTCTTACATAAACAGATTTTAAAAAGTATGTTTTAGGCCAAAAGCTTTGCAAAACCATCACAAAACAATGTCTTGACATCAGGAGTATTTGTAACCACTGCATGTCATCACTTCCTGTGATGCAGCTTTTTAGAGACATTAAACACTTCGGACGTCTGGTTCCTACCACCACTACTGTCAACCATTCTAACTCGGTAAGTGTCTCTAGAACGGGGCGTTCACAACTCTACTAAAATTGCCAAAAAATGGCTTAGTATGACTACCCACACCAAGTTGCACAGTGTCTGGATACCATAATTTGTCTGTTTTCTCTGCAGTTAATACTCAGCCTCATCAGGGATGTGTTATTTTTTCATTTTGGTTGCATAACAGCATAAAGCCTTGTTACTGTAATCAAGTGCTATAGGACTTCTCAATCCTACAATTTATCTTTTCTGCATGATGCCGTTCGCATGATACAGTGTATTAAGGGCTAACTGTGCAGCATTAGGTTTGAGTAATATCGTCATTGGCAGCTTAACAGATGTGTTGTTCTAACCTGCATTGTTTTTGGACGCTGAGGACGACTCTTTGTCAGGTTTGCTCTTTTTTTTCTTAGACGAGCCAGAGGCCTCTGAGGACGCCGGTCTTTTCTCTACTGCTGGAGTGGACAGAGCCCTCTTCTTAAAGAGTTCACGCTCTCTCAGCAGAGCGGGATCCATCCTACACAAACACATAAAAAGATCTGAATGTACATTTTAGAAAAAACAAAACAAATACACCCTAATGCTACACTACACACTATATGGCTTTCTCTTATAAATTAACACATCAATAATTCACTTTATACACAACTGACAACGTAGTACTTTTCTGTATTGTAAAAAAGACTACAAATGGGGGACCACCACACACAGACATAAACATATTGTATAGCATACATTTGTTAGGGGTGGGTGATATGGCAAAAACATTACATTTACACAATACACAATCTGTATCACAATAGGTGTCAGATCTATCTTTCTGAGATGTAATAATGTGGAACAGAACCTGTAGAATTACAGTAACAGGAAAAGAAGAATAAATTACAATAATTTTTATCCAATGTTTTTACAAACTAAATCCAATTAAACTGACCTAATTATGTTCACTTTGCAATGAAACTGACGAAAGCGTTCTTTAAGTACTGTAGACTGTAAACTTAGCCCTGAGCTGCTTCAGTAAAAGGATGTGTTCAGCGTGGTCTTTAGCACTGTACTCTTCCATCTTTGATAAACGGGTCACACACTGACACTTACAGAGAAGCACATGTACACAAAACCTCAAGTGCGAACTTTGGGACAGGGGTGTCCTATTTCTACATTTCCTCAGCACTGCAAAGGAGCTGAATCTTCAAAAAACAGGTTACAAAGGCCAGGAACTGATTTAGCTAGTTATCGAACTAGTATCCATGAGCATTTTAATCACAGAAGGTACCTAAAACTTGTACAAAGTAGATCGTAAGCCAATAACGTCAAATTACTAGCTAACGTTCTCATGATCTAGTTAGCTTTACAAGCTAGCTGTAAGTGTTAAGCTAGCTAAATAGTTGACTCGCGGCTAGCTCTGATTAATTCATCCAAAATTGTATTTGTAATACTGAACTAATTATACGAATAACGTGTCCGTATTATGTTAAGTCAATATTGTCAGAATTTTCCACAAACATCTGAAGAATGTGAAGGTATGAAGGGTAACAAAAGCTAGCCAAATAACTTTAGCTAACCGCCGAGCGAAGGCTAACGTGAGTCAGTAACGTTTCAAGCTTCGCTTTTCTTAGCCATATCTCTACTCAACGTTACGCCATTCACCTACCTTACTACTCCACGATCTCTCTTCGAGAGACAGATCTGTTAGATCCTAATTAATCATTCAAATCTCATCAGCTGTCAGCTTTCGGCCGATTCCGGTAAGAAAGGATAGTTACTGTTGCCGTGTCTCACTCGAACAGAGACAACACTTGACGCTAGTGACGGCGACTAGCGCTGCGCTCCAAACGGCGTACAGGAAACCTACGTAGGGTACCTCGAAAGGAGGAGCACTCACAGTGGACATTTTGTAGTGTTGTTCCAAATTATTGAAAAAGAACCCTATGGAAAAGCTTGGACGACAAACCAATGGACACTTACTATAACGTCTTTTTGTAAAATGTATTATTATTGTTATTATTTATTATTAGCAGTGGTGTTATTAATTATTAATTGCTCTGAATGGAAAATGTGGCTGCACACCAGTGAAACTAGGGCATTTCAGTTTTTGGTAAAACTTAAGGATTCTAGCCAGGGAAAGAAATGGCAAACTCGGCAATGGATGTGAAAAAATATATATCTGATGCGTGTATATGTGATCTAAGTGCTTTTTAATCATCTTTAACGAAAAAGCAGGATACATATTCTCCTGGCCTCCATGCTTTCTTTCTAGGTGGTGGGCATGTCTATTAACAACCCCGAGAAGAGAAAAGTCACATTACGGTTAACCATCTGGTTCGGATGAGATCCAAATGCAGCATTAGCTAGCAGCATACCTTTCTACAAGTTCATTAGACACACAGGCATCAGACAAGAACAAATATGAGCGGATCCTAGGGAGTAGGGCATAGGCATTGTCGCATCGGAATGGAGCGCCTCCCCACAACCGAACGCGATGTCATTCTTCTTCGCCTCTTCTGGTGGGCTCAGTTTTGCGAATGGCTACAACCCGAAAAGGCGTAGCGTCACCTTCTGCACTACCATCTTTTACACTACATAGTTTAAACCGTACAAATAAAGCACCCACGACACATCTCTTTATCAATGTATACTGTTTTAATAAAACCAAAGAAAGCATCGTGCACGCTGAACTCCAAACAAACGTTTTCAAAAATCACTCTCTAGCGCAACCGCTCTCCGCCGGGGGAGGGGGCGATAGAGAGCTTCAGCCTAAATGCAAATAAACACTGAAGAGGTAGAAATGATGACACCCATTGTTGCCTTGTTTCTTTAGTTTCCTTTCGTTGACTGGAGCTGCGGGTGTTTTGCTGAACATGGCAGTGGCAGAGGTTCATAAAGTTATCATTTATGGAGGGAAAGGAGCTCTGGGCTCAAAATGTGTTCAGTATTTCAGATCGAAACAGTGGGTGAGTTTATTACGCTGCTCTCAACACTGAAACATGAGCTGTAACTTTACTTGCAGCAGAGCTGATAAACTTAGCTAATATCATAAAACTTACATTACTTTGCACTGACGTAGCGATTAAATGCGCTAGATTAACAGCACTTTCATACACTTATTAAGACGAATGCAGGTCACTGAAACTAAATGTACTGTATTTAGAGCTGGAGACTTAGACCTACGTCTTACTGTTTTTGTATGTAAATCACTTCTGTATGATTACTTAATGCGCACTTTCTCATGACAGATTTAACGTTAATATTTCAAGTAAACGTTTCCATCGTCTAGATTAACGTTTGTGCCCTTATCTCCACAAATAGGCAAGTGCTTAAGACTGAAAAAACAATAAAATATAAAAATCTTGTAACACAATGTAATTGAATTTAACAATTTAACAACAATTATGTGCAAAACGTACAAGGGAATTAAAACAAAGGATTTAAGTGTTATTAAAATGAGTTTATTGTGGGTAAAGTGCAGTAAGGAACATGAAAAGAAATATTTTTAACCTGGATTTAAAAATTGCTTCTTTGACATCTCTTTAACACATGTTTCTCCCCCCCAGTGGGTTGCCTGCATTGACTTAAATGCAAATGAAGAGGCCAATGCCAATATCACAGTTCAAATGACAGACTCCTTTAATGAGCAAGCCAGCCAGGTGAGAGATTTAGATTTTAAGGGCCCATAAGCTGCAAAATCAGCTCATTTTGTGATGTCACAAAAAGCAACACTCATTTATATGTGTATGTATATACACCTGTTCACGTTGAACCATGGCCATGATTACCTAGTTTTAGAAGGATGATCTATATTTATTAAGCCACTTTTTTAAGATGATCAAATCTGATTAGTTTTCACTGTCACAGTATTATAGCCAATCAAATTTATTGTGTGCCTGTAATGTTCATAACAATCATCATGACATCAGGGTCCTCAGAGGATTCAGAAAAAAATATGAGATTCAGTGTGGAAACAGCGATATGACTGCCCAATCAGCAGTGACCGTTTTTAGTGACTGTGATGTCCTGAGGTGTTCAGGTATGCAGCACATATATAGACTAAAATCCAACTTAGCTATGATATGTGAGATTTTAAGGGCATAACAAAAAGATTATGCTTGTAAAAAGCAAACCTCATAATTCATAATTCGTAACGTTGCCACCTATGTGCTTCAGTCTACTTGCAGTAGGTGCTATATTAGTGATTAAATAAAAAATTAATGGTAGCACATGAGGCTTCCAGTACACTTGGCTTTGTGTATATATATATGTATATGTGTGTGTGTGTGTGTGTGTGTATACATACACATATATACATATATATACACACACACACTTTATAGATAGAGAGACAGAGACCTATGTGTGTATGGTAATGGACTCAAAAGATGCAATTATTTCTTTAAAAATAAACTAAAGGAAAAATAGACAATTGGTGCAATAGATACAGGTTGTGTTAGTATATTCAGTTTTCTCAAAATAGACCTCAGTAAAATTTTGAAATCAGTTACAGCCCTGGTTGTAAGGAGTGGGTGTGCTGCAGTATCTGCCCGGCATGTGCTGGTTGAGCAGTGTGGGCGTGGTTTCTGCTTTTTTCCCCATTTATTCTATATGACATTTTTATGGTAATTGTATACAGGCTACACAGATGTTCAGATGGCAGTCTTGTTGTGTCCATTCCACATATAAGTCGAATGCAAAAGTTTGAACACCCCTGAATGACATGCTCTGTGGACTTTCTTAGTAAAAGTAAGCTAACACATTCTCAACAGAAAAACATTTTCTTCCTCCAATATGTTAAAAAACAGTAACTGTAGAGGATGTGTTAACTGATTTACAAAAAATGTAATTTTGCGTAATTTTGCATACTACATTACAGTACAGTAGAAAAATGTTTATTTGATGAATTTAACAAATCAGAAAAAAATTAAACAAAGTGTAGCCTGTGCAAAAGTTACATCTTTTATGTTTTTCTAATTTGTCAAATTCTGCACTAAAATTAGAGAAAAGATGTCATATTTACATGTTTTCTCTGTAGGGGATGTGTGTTCACTTTTTTTGCACTTAGAAAATCAACAAAACATGTAATTTGACCAGCAGTATTCAAACTTTTGCATATGGCTGTAAGTCTGTGTGAGGTGCTGGACTCTGAACTGACAATCCTTTCAGGTTACAGCTGATGTAGGTGAGCTGCTGGGAGAAAAAAAGGTTGATGCCATTTTGTGTGTGGCCGGAGGCTGGGCAGGGGGCAGTGCCAAGGCCAAAGGTCAGAGCAGAACACACAACTGATTTAACTTTTACTGGCAGGGACTGAGTAATATGTAGGCCTGTCATGTTCTTACTATTTTAAATGATGATTAATAGCCATAGAAATAATTGTGATTAACAATTTAATTGTATTTTTTGTTCTTTGTATTCGGCTATTAAAGTCTAAAATGGCAAAATTGAGTGCTATCTTGCTGTCAATAGCTTTCTAGCAGGGGTGTAAAGAGTACTGAAAATCCCTATTTAAGTACAAGTACTGTTACTGTAGTGATAATTTACTCAAGTACAAGTAAAAGCAATAGTAAATAAAATTACTTAAGTAAGAGTAAATAAGTAGTTCATTGAAAAACGACTTAAGAGCCGAGTTCCATTTTCGTATTTCCGCTGTCACAATCTAAACATATTTCTGAGCTGACTCGGCTACATCACCGGAAATAATCTGTACAGAAAAACACTAAAGCAGGTGTTCTGAGAGCTGAGACTGATCACAGTTCTCTCTGCTGCAGAATATTTACACACCTTTCTGTGAACTGTGTAAGGAACAAGGTTGACATTAAACTGCATGCATTTCATGGTTAGATGATTATATAACACTTCCTAGTTTATCTGTTTCCAATAAAGTATTTTAGAATCCCTGAAAGACTGTGCAGAGGTTTTTTGAGGCAAAATTATGAGTAGATTGCTTAAGTAATGATGTAATTTTATTGAGTCCTGCTGGCCATCAGCTCCCTGGACTCTAGCTTGTGTTAATAGGTGTGAACCTGTACAGACAGTAAACACCTTCACAGCCTTCAAACTGTATATTTTCACTGAAATCTGTTCAGAACATTTCTACCATTAAAATCAGCGGCAACATCAGCAATTAACCCAGCTTTGATTTTTACTGTAATATATTTCACTAGAAATCATGCTGATCAGTTCATACAGAATCCCAAATTATTATTGTATTTCACAGTTAAACGGCTACACAGTCTCTCACAGTTAAAGACAAACACCAAGGCAGAGAGAGAGAAAGAGAGAGAGGGGGGCGGGGGAGAGAAGCATTATAAAAGACAGAAGAAAACCAAAAACACGGTACCTGTTTTGCTCAGATCACCTAGCTCGGCTAATGCTCCCTCAGGCTGAAGTTGAGTTGTGATACCGGATCTCTGCAGGTTTCATGTTTGGCCGCTGATAATAACACTGTTTAAAGTTTCAAGATTTATTATTTATTATAGAGTTTTTTACAAAACCACATTGTCAGCTTTACAGAAAGTCCAGGTCCAAGCACCAGTGAGTAAGCCAAGGGCAACAGAGGCAAGGAAAAACTCCCCAAGAGAAATAGAAAGAACCCTTGAGAGCAATCAAGACTCAAAAGGGGAACTAATCCTCCTCTGGTCCACACCAGATAACAAAACAAAAATAAGGCAAGAGCAGTAAGGATAAAAAATAACATTGATTAACATTCCAATGATTATACATTAGTGAATATATAAAATAAAGAAGGCCTGTCATTGGACCGAAATATTTATATTTATGATTAATCATCAATGATAACTGATAACTACTGTCAGCATATTATCAGAGTAACAAATGTCAACTAGATTTATGAAAACCAGTGACTGCTGTTAGGAGCGTATCACAGCAAAAATGAGAGTTTAATCCATGAACGTCATTGACCACTGTTAGAAGCCTATCATGTTGATGTCTAAGTATGAATATGTGAACAGATCAGTGTATTGTTAGGCAGGTGAAACAACGTGTATGATTAAATAGCTCCAGTTTGAGTTTGTGCAGGCACCAGTATCATGAAAAGGGTGAATAGGCATTCAGTAGAGATTTTCTGCACAGCAGAATGCACATGCAATTCATGGTGGTCAAACTGGTCCGGAATGCAGGAGCTTGGGGGCATTTGATCATGGCAGATGAAGCAAACGTATCAGAGCAGACAGGCATTTGTTCAGCTCAGCAAAGCTCCCGATCAGCGTAGATCTTGCAACAGCATCAGACTGGACAGAATAAGTCATCACACTGCAGAGTCGGAACTAGCTGTGGTGGAATGAAACAGTAATCCACTGGTGTCTGCACATAAGAGTGATTTTACCCCATTTAAGGCTTATTGGTATACACAGTGCAAAGCAGAGTAAAATCACAAATGCACAGCCAACGGTAGCTTATTGCTTTTATAAAATGGCAATAAAATACAATATGATAAAATACAACCATGTTCAATAAATCATTCATAAACCTCACAAACCTGAGAAAAACAAAATATTGTGTTGCATGTTGTGCATCGTAATATTACATTCTTGCTATATTACCTACTCTAAGCAGTGACAATATCCAGCTGCGACTGCATAATAGTTTGACAGTGTTTGGCTCTAGTAACTGTACTGTTCAGATTGTCACTAAATTACCAAATAACTCATGCTGACTATCTTCCCCCTTTATTCTCAGTGCTGTATAAGAATCTGGATTTGATGTGGAAGCAGAGTGTGTGGACGTCTACTATCTCCAGTCACCTAGCAACCAAACATCTGAAAGAGGGAGGGCTGCTCACACTGGCGGGGGCTAAAGCATCACTTGGCCCAACCCCAGGTACGCACACATGTACTACTTTATTAAGTACACCTACCACGAGTACAGCCATTGAGTGCTTGGTTTCATGCACTGAAGCAGATGCATCATTTCATGCAACATGATGCATTTCATGATGCATCAAGTTGAATCAAGTTTCATGAATCAGACGCAGAGAATTTTCTTTTTTTTAGCGAACTTAAACCTTAACTGAAAAATTTGTAGCTATCTACTTTGTAGCTACTTTCCCAAAATTTTTAGCTAGCTACATTTCCAGAAAAAAAGTAGTGGCTACATTTTAGCTACTTTTTGAAAAGTAGTGCACTACTTTTTAGCTACTTTTAAGCGCAATTGTCAGAATGTTTGTGTATCTCCACCTGACACACCAAACAAGTCCAACTGAAAGTGTGAACAAGACGCTGCATTTAATCATGTGCCAGAAAGAAACATTCAGTTGAAAAGCTGCAAATATACAAAAAGATCAAGTTCAAGTGTAACCAACAGTCAAACTTACACAACCAAAAGGTGTGATAGCCAACAAAAATTTGGATAAGTAAAGGCAAAGTCAATCATTCCAGGTTTTTCCTAACAAAAATCAACAAAAATAACCGGATACAAACAAAACAGTTGTGTGCAAAGTGTCAACTGTTGAAATAAAACTGTTCTTATTTTAACATTTCAGCAAGATATGTACAGGCATGACATTCAGAGCCTAAACTTCAGCAACACTTTAGCCTCAAAATTATCATCAGTGATCCTGGCTCTGTTTGGGGTGAGAATCAGGCCTGCGCATCTGAATAATCTCTCCAGCTGTTGCGGCTCCCCATAGCACAACTAGATTTTTAGGTAAAATAATATAATCCTCCTTTGCTGTAAAATCGTTATAACACACAGTTCTAACACAGCTTTAACAATAAATGTCTTAAACGCTGGAGTTAACGCATAACTGCTAATTCACCAACCTTTAATGCTGAAAATTGACGCAGAGACTGCTGGACACACAGCAGCGCACACAACGCATAGTAGCTAACGAAACGGCAAAGAGAGAGATTTAAGACAAACATCGATAATTTGGAGACAAACTGATTTATCTACATTTAAAAGCACTGCAGCTGCTTCCCTGATACGTTTAATCTGCAACAAGAAACTGTCAAACACTAAGTCGCAAGGCTGCAGCTTCTCTTTCGCCAGCTTCTTGTTCGAGCTGTCCCATTCCACCTTAAATGATGCAGCAGTTACATTCTGGCACCTCATGCACCATTTAAGGTGGAATGGGAGAATTCGAACGAGAAGCTGGCGAATGAGAAGCTGACTTCAGCCCCGTAAAAAATTGAACCTTGAGAGACATTTTACAAGAAAATCTTTTGTGGAGTAGTTTCCTGACTGAGGTGTGAGAAGAGCAGCTATAGCTGAACTTAACCTTATAGCAGAGCAAAGTAAATCTGCATTTTATATTATATTTTTAGCCTGTACTACTACATTAGCACATACTGAGACATATTTACAGCCAAGATGGTAAAACGGGCATAAAATGTTGTGGCTTCCAAGGTGGTCTCACAACCCTTTCTCTAACTCTTCATAGGTATGATTGGTTATGGCATGGCCAAGGCTGCAGTCCATCAGCTATGTCAGAGTCTGGGTGGACCCAATAGTGGACTTCCTGCTGGAGCTGCTGCCATAGCCATCCTACCGTGAGTACGCCCACAGCAACGACACTAACAGAGTTGTCACAGTAAACCCAGCCAATGGGAGCACTGTAATTACATCTGGATTTAGTACTTCACTGTCAAACTGTAGAGTAAAAATAAAAAAAAAGTTAATCAAATCATGCATTGATTTTAGTAGGTCATTACATCCATTAGAAGAAATGCCCAGCTGAGGCAACTTCCAGAATAACTACAACCACTAAGCATTATCATCATGGCCATATTCGATATTAAAGTATCGCAGAAGATACATCAAGAGATGTCTATAATACTATGATTAATAAAGTTAAGGAAATCTTGTTGTTAAAGGGGAATACCAGGGATTTTTCTAAATTTCTGCATACATCAATAGTTGAGTTGCAAACAAAGTCATTGTGAGTAGTTTAATGTGAAATGATTGAGATGACTACAGACTCAGATTTCTTTACAGTGGTGCTGGAAGGAACCAGGGATTGTGATGTCTGTAACACAAATATAGGCATTTTATTTACCGTCTAAAATGACATTAAAGCAGAGCAAAGTAAATCTGCTTTTTTATTTACATTATATTTATATTATATTTATATTATAATACTGTCAGTATTTAATGTGTCCTCTCTTCACTTCTGCGCACCCTACTGCCACTTTGACTCTTCCAGTCTTGCAGTCTTGAAACAAATGAATTACAGCTACAATGAAAGATCTTCCTAAAATGGTCATTGACATCAAGTTCTTCAACGAGACACTAACATTCACACTGGCAACTATTCAAACACATCTTAGCACCTCACGTTTATTCATGTGCATTAAAAAACTATTTCTGAGACGATCAGATATAAGATAATGCACTTGCATGAAGAAGGACAAAGTCAAAGGAAAATAAGGGAAAAGACAGAAGTTCCAAAAATGGGAGTACTGGCAAACTTGCAAGACCTGGAAGACCACCCCAATTGTCTTCATCACATAAACAGAACTTAAAAGATTTCCTCTTTGAGAGAGAGGAAAAAATCAAGCTTTACTCTTGCTTCAGATCTGAAAAAAGGTGTTTATTGTCCATTCTTCCACTGTGAGAAGATAACTGAATGCTATGAGTTTGAAAGGATGTGTAGCTGTCAAGATGCTGTAGAGAAAGAAAATAGACAAAAAAAAGAGGAAAAAACTGCATGAGAATATAAGACCTGTAAGGTTTGTGGAATAATGAGTCTAAATTTGTAATTGGGATTACTTGGATGATGAGATGCAGAAAGTACAACCAACTTCTAAAACTGAATTTTGATGTGTGGAAAAGTAGCCCTTGAGATTTCATCATAAAACTAAAAGAAAAGAATGAAAAGAATGGAGCTGCAATAAAGGCAAAGGGTAAACACACTATATACTAAAAATATATTTTATTTGTTAAGACCTCTGTGTATTCTTTTTACCTGACCCTGAAAATGAATAACTTGTACTTAATGTCAGTTTTGGTCCAAAATTGAAAGAATGGAAGAGTGTAACTATTGCAATTTTTAATATAAAATCTGAAAAATTACAAACAGTCGTATGCAGACGTTCGGGCACTCCTTGTCAAATTACATGTTTTGTTGATGTTCTAAGTGAAGATAAGTTAGCACATCTTCTACAGATAGCACACTTCTACACATTTTAATGCATATTGAGAAAAAAAACAACATGTATGCGTGTGTGTACTACATTAGATACAGTATATGCCATTAACGGTATTTGGCTGACTTCCTACAGAGTTACTCTGGACACACCCATGAACAGAAAATCCATGCCAGACGCTGATGTCGGTTCTTGGACACCACTGGAGTACATAGCTGAGTAAGTTTGGTCTGACAGTGTGTGGTGATGTAGGTTGAGTATGTGTTTGTTCAATAGTAATATTTACAGCTTGAGGCAAACACTATAAAGATTACAAAAGTATATAAATATGTAGTGAGCTATGGTGCTGGGTTTTACACTCTATTGGTTGTACTTAAGCTGTTACAGAAGTACAACCCCATTTCCAAAAAATTTGGGACGCTGGGCAAAATGTAAATAAAAACATGCAAAAAAATGCAATGATGTCAAAATGATTTAAACCCTATATTTAATTGAAAATAGTACAAAGACGACATATCAAATGTTGAAACTGAGAAATTTTATTGTTTTTTGAAAAATACATGCCCATTTTGAATTCCATGCCAACAACACGTTCCAAAAAAGTTGGGACAGGGGCAACAAAAGGCTGGTAAAGTTGTGTAATGCTAAAAAAACATCTGGTGGTTGATTGGCAGTAACATGATTTGGGTATAAAAAAGGATCCCTTTCTCTGGGCTCGAGCTCATTTAAAATGGACTAAGGGGAGTGGAAAAGTGTCCTGGGGTTTGACAAATCAACATTTGAAGTTCTTTTTGAAAAAACATGGACACTGTGTCCTCCGGGCTAAAGACCACTCAGCTTTTTATCATTGCACAGTCCAAAAGCCAGTATTCATAAAAGTATAGGCATGCATTAGTGCACATGGCATGGGTGGATAGCACATCTGTGAAGGCACCATTAGTGCTGAAGGATACATACGTGTTTTGGCAACATATGGTGCTATCCAGACTGCGTCTTTTTCAGCGGAGGCCTTAATTATTTCAGCCAATGACAATGCCAAACCACATTCTACATGTATTACAACAACATTCCTCAGCATTAAAGGTGTCCGGGTGCTAAACTGACTTGCCTGCAGTCCAGACCTGTCACCCACTGAAAATATTTGGTGCATTATGCGAAATACTACAAAGGAGACCCCGTACTGATGAGCAGCTGAAATCCTGTATCAAACAAGAATGGGAGAACATTTCACTTTCAAAACTACAGCAATTGGTCTCCTCAGTTCCCAAATGCTTACAGAGTTTTGTTAAAAGAAAAGGTGATGAAACACAGTAGTAAACATGCCCCCATCCCAACTTTTTTGGAACGTGTTGTTGGCATCAAATTCAAAATGGACACACTTTTTTTTTTCAAAAAAACAATACAATTTCTCAGCTTCAACATATGATATATTGTCTTTGTATATTTCCTTTAAAAATATGGTTTCCATGATTTGTATTTCATTGCATTCTATTTTTTATAACTTTTTTGGAAATGGGGTTGTAGTTATGTTATTTACACTGGTAAGAGAAAACGTCTGGTGATACATTTTAAAGGTAAGAGGAATTCTGAAACCCTTGGCCCCATCATCGGGAGATTGTGAGTTCGATCCCCAACCATGCAACAGCCATTTGTGACTGGGAGTCCAAAAGAGCATAACGGGCCTTGTTCTCACTTGGTGGGTAGGATGGCCCTTCTACCCCCACAACACTGCAGTTCTAGCCAAGACAGGCATGTGTTAGTTGATGTAACAGAATTGGCAATTAGCATTCTTCTCAAAGCGTGTTGAGCTGTCCAGTGATGTTGCTTTAGTACCAGTTTGAAAAGTTGCAGTGGCAGTGGTGCTTCACAGGTCTGAGAGCTAGCCTTTCCACCTTCGTAGCATCATGTGGTAGGTGGACCTACGCTATCAGGTAGAATCGGCCATGAATAAATTGGGTAGAAAAACTTAAAATAGTGATGCATCGATATCATTTTTTTCAGAAAGTGTACAAGTACGTATTTTTTAGTACTCGCTGATACCGCGTCTGATAACATTACTGACTGCTTAGAATTAGGTAGATGGCGTAAATCAGTGCAGTGTACCTCAAAAATTAAATCCTTAAAATCCAGATGATTTTAAATGAAGTGCATTAGCTAACTATGCTACATTAGTTACCTTTGATTGAGTAGCGCTGCATTGGAGAAGCGTGGGCATAAAAGCCCTTCTGTACAGCTCTAAATAAAGTACAAGTCATAGTTTTTCTCCTTGCTTCTCTCCTTCAGTCTCTGTAGCACAGCAACAGCAGGAATCACTCCTGAGGCTAATGCATCCAAGATGCTCATGTTTTGAGTTTCAGGTCTTGTTGGGAGTATTTAGTTTGGCTGGCTGATCTGTAGTTGAATGTACTCTAAAGGCAGACACACACTGTACGATTTTAGAAATTCTTTAGTGACTTGCATTATACATTTGAATAGACCATCATGTACAGACAAAGCCAAAAATTTATTCATGAAAGCAGCCTCTTCAGACAGTTCTGCCTACAGATAAAGCTGTTTCATTCAAAACAACACGCTGCATTCTGAGTGCTGAGCGTAGAGAAACTGAACAATGAGCACTGAAACTAAAAGGGGGTGATGTACACGGTACATCTCTCTACAGCTTATGTTGCAAAAAATCACCATATTAACGTTTATACCTTGCTACTGTATTCAGTCAAACAGAGTAAAGTTGGCATAGAGGGACTTTGGTAGCAGATGTCTTTTTTTTTCCCCTCTTTTTAGTTGCCCTGTATGTTTCCACCCAGATTGGGAAAGCAGTTGTGATTGTGTGTTTAAAAATGGGCTAAAATCACACAGTGTATTCCTGGCAGGAATCTGCCAAGGTGGATTGTTTAAAGTGACCTTTGTGTCCGACTGTCAGGTCAGTAACACTTCTCTGTGTGAGCAGAGCCTACTTCACTGCAGTTGTTCATTTGCATGGCCCTGTACACTCAGCTCATGTCTCAGCTGGTATCAGAATGTTGGTATCGGTACATTTCTATGAGTTTCGAGTAAATGAGCATGGCATCTGAATAATATTCAATACCAGTAACGATATCAATGCATTGGACATTTTTATTAAACTATAGATAAATGGCCAGTAGTTAGGATTGGTTTGTATGGGTTCCTAATGGTTTAATTAGGTATTTGTGCAATTAGTGTAACTGAACATTTAATAGACAAAAACAGTACAAAATCTTAAATATTGTCACATTGCTGAGGCTGAGTGCTGCAATGCTGTGCTACCAAACACTACACAAACAATAAACAAATAGAATATTAAATGCTTGTTTTATGAGTGTTGACTTGTGGAGTCGTTATAAAAGTCATTGAGAATAAACTAGACAGAGTTGTTGAGGAGAAGGATGGATTTATTTAAAGACGTCTTCATACAGAGATGTTCACAGATCACCAGTTGGTTCCTTCTCCCACAGAAAAGGCCCTTAAAGACAGAGTGACTACTCTGATACACAGAATAAGCATATAGAAGGTATACAATTAACCATAATCGAATAGGAGATACTACTAAAAGATGAATTCCACATATTTTTGTAATCTCTGCCTAATTCAGTTGTTAACATGTCCAACAGAGTTTTGATGCTAAAAAAAAAAAACACGTTCTAGAGAAGAGTCTAGAATCAGAATGCTTCACGGTGGTGATAGAAACCAGATGTCTGAGGAGTTCAATGCCTCTAAGAGCTACATCACAGAAAGTTACTACATAAAATGATTATGAATGCTTTACCTAATGCCTGAGACATTGTTATATTTTCGTTGTGAAAGGTTATATTTTAGGTTTTGGCCCAAAACATGAATATTAAAATCTATTTGTGGTGGAGAGATGCATACCGAGCATTATAAGGCAAAATAGATTTTTTTTTCCGTTTTACCACTATATTTTTATGGTCAACATTACATATAAAGACTCAGAAGACACGTGTAGGTTCACTGGTGGTTTTGAGTAGTAAATAAAATGGCTGTATTTGTTTTGTAGACATTGTTGACTGGTTACTATCACCATCACTGTAAAAAAAAATCTGTAGTATACCTGTAGTTAAACTGGGTTTTGCTTTGCTCATAAACCAAAATGATTTGTCTTCTAGATTGTTCTACAAGTGGGCAACAGGAGGAGAAAGACCAGCCTCAGGCAGCCTGGTGCAGCTAATAACCACAGATGGCAAAACAGAGGCAACAGCGATTTAACTGTTTATAAATGTGTCTGTGGGTTAGAATTGTGTGATTGTGTGTTTAAATATTAGGGCCAGACCAATATATGTTTTTCCTGTAATAGCAGCTGATATTAAAGGCCCATGGATTTATCAGTGATGTTGAAAATCCTGACGGTAATATTTTGCTGAGTTGTTTTTATTGTGATGAGCAGACACCTCTGATGTGAGGATTTAAGGAAATGGTTTGGCAAAAAATCAAATATATGCAATTTTCCACTTAACCCAGATGTAGTTGACGAGCCAAGACATGTTTTGCCTCTAAATTTTGCTTGTTAGTTCAGCGCTGGATCTACCAGCCTAACATTGCTAAGAAACACTAGAAGTCAATAGTCACCCAAATCTTGTAAATACATCCCCAAAACTTCTCTCAACCTGCTCAAACTACATCCAGGACTTCATGAAAGTTGTCAATGTGTGTCAGCTTTAAAAATGAACAAAACTTCACCATGTAGCTAAACACAGTGTGGAACTATTGTGATGCTAAAATACTTTTGTGATTTCCATTGTTTATATACAGATATCTTCTGTTTGAAAATGCAAGACTGACAGTTATCTGTAAACAGAAACAGCAGAAATCTGTACATTTGAATTTGGCACAGCAGCTCTGTTGTCTAAAATGCCTGCCTGCTGCATTCAGCTACACAGTGAAGTTTTCATTTTAATCATTCACAGTAAGTCATATTGTGCTCTAAATCACATGGACAAGTCTACACAACCTTAATGAGTTTTCTGCATGTACCATTTGGGTGACTATTGACCTTTATTGTTTGTTAACAACGTTACCCTCGTAGCTCCAGTTTAAAACTAAAGAAACAAATTTCAGAGACCAAACATGTCTTGGAAGATTGACTACATCTAGGGTACGTGAAGAATCGCGTAAATGAGAACTATTTCTTAACGCATTTAAGCTCATAAACTTGTCTTTATCTCCAAGACCTCTAAGCTGACAATCACAACATTTATCTGAAGTGATGAAGAAATAAAAAGGATATCCGACAAAAAAGAACCAATTAGCAGAAACCAACAAAACCGCTAAGCTAACAGTGCTGGGAAGCTCTGACCCTGTGCTAGAATATTTAAATTATTTTGGTTCTACTGTTTATTTTAGTTTAAGTAATGTGAAAACAGTCATATTTGTCTACTCATGCTTGTTTATCTAAACTATTATTTTTTGCCATAGAAAGCTGATATTATCAGCTGATATAGGTTATCTGCTCCTTAAAATCAATATCACAAAATGCATTACTAAAAGTTTGGGTGCCCATTTTCCAAAGTAAAATGAAGACATCCTCTTCAGAGAAGACACTTCTGTGCATGATAATGCACAATTATTATTTATTTGCAGAATTTTACGTATTGGGGGGGAAAAAGAAAAAACATCAAATGACCTGAGCAAAAGTTATGGCATCTTTTATATTTTATTTTTCTCCAATAAGCAAATAAATAAAAAATGTGCACTAAAATTACCTAAAAAACGGTATATTTAAGTTTGTTCTCTTTGTAGAGGATATGCTATTTTCACTTAAAAATCAACAGAACATGTAATTTGACTGCCAATTTGAATTTGACTAATTTAAATACAGACCAGTGCAACCAGTTACAATTGTGTTCTGCCCACCTTGTCGAAAAACCTATATGTGTTGCCCTCTTACACTTAAGGCCTCAGCATATTTCTTGCGAAACGAAATTCTCGAGGGTTGTGCGAAGCCGAAAGCGCCTTCGCGAGCTTACAAGCTCGTGTAGTTCGTGTAGCTTGTCGCGGATGCTCCACGTGACGCTATGACATTTTATGGTAAGTTTCATGACTGCTGGAAAACGGTTCTTTCACAGTTTTAACTGTGGCGACGTTTGAGTTCAGAATACTGCCACCATTTAAGGTGGAACGGGGAAATTCAAACAAGAAGCTGGTGAATAGAAAACCAAATTCTCACCTCTTGTGAACCTAAATATAAGATAACCTGTATGTTGGGGTGCTAAGCACTAAAAGATATTACCGAATAACAGACCTAACATCTTACATTTAGGAGATATTCATTGTTTATTTATCAAATCCACGTTTCACAGTGAAATATTAGTATATTTGCCAAAGCCAAGGCTCCTCAAAATTGTCCATCTTAGTTTCATGGCACGCCTCTTTTTAACTGACCAATCACAGGCCCTGTCGCGTAGTGTGTTCGTCCGCGGAGTTCGCCCAGCTGCCATGTGCGGGACACGTCGAACAAAGCCTCAGCGCGACGTCTGCGGTTCGTTTTGTCCGCAATTACGTCATATTGTTCGCTGAAGCCTGGCGAACGTCGTCTCCTCAAGAAGTATGCTGAGACCTTTCGTATTAACATCCATCTCGTGACCTGATCAGAAGTGTACAGTAAGATGCAAATACCAGATGTAAGTGGCTATACATGCATCTCCAGTGACCGCTATGGTCAGATTTTGTGACTGCAGGAAGGGAACCATGCATGTTAGTCTTTCACTGCATTTGCTGTCATACAAAATTTTTCCCCGAGTCCTTGTTAGCATTCATATACAAGCTTTTACAAAGTTTAGGCCGCATGCACCTCAAATGCAAGTCATTAACAAACAGGAGAGGAAACAGAGGTGACGCAGCTGTTTTCATTTCTGCTTTGCTGGCGAAGTTGATGTTTAATGATGGCATCAAGATGCTTTTGCTTTCACACTACAAATGTTGTATGGTCACATGCTTCACTGACCACTTCAAAAGGTGGTTTGATTGATCAGATCACAGTGCCAATCGCAAACACGCACTGGACCCTCTTTTCACCTGTACATAGCACTATCCACTTATGATAAGATCAACTAAGATATATGTTAATGGGTAATTCCACCATTTTTTCAGATGTTTCACATAATGGTTAAAGGGCCTATATCATGGAAAACTGTCTTTTCTTCGCTTTTTAAAATAGGTTTCATGTAGTTTGTAAACCTAGGTAAAGTGTCAAAACATATCGTTCACTCTCCAGCCCATAGAGGGGTACAAAGCTGCAGAAACAGATTTGAATTTGTTGTTTTTGTGATGTCATGAAAAACATCTTTGTATTCAGCCTACAGCAGTTCATCTGTGCCCATTAATGCAGACACTATTAGGAATTATTAAGTCTGGAATACTTTTTGAATGAGGCACAATCCATGTGAGCCTACCAGAACAGAGGTCTTACACATATATCAGTATGTCTGATATCTGTTTGATTCTGAAAGATAGATTGGAAAATGGTCATGCACAAATTAATGTTGGTTGTTTTCAATACAGTACAGTGGTGGTGGTGGTGTCATTCAGAGTGGTTTGATGTGAAATGTTATATTCTAATGAAACTCAGTATTGTTCATAATGATAGTGACAGGAACCAGGCATCCAAAGAGTATAATGACTACAAACGCTACATCGTGAAATACATTGCCAGATTTTGGCCTAAAATGCCATTTTTAAAAATATATTCATAGTGGAGGGGTATATGCAGGGTGCTGTAAGGCAAAATAGTCCCTAAAGAAAGCTTTTTTTCCCCAGATTTGTGTGTGTGTGTGTGTTGTAGCCATCACAACACCTGGTTTCTACCACCACCACTGTAAAGAAAATCAGAGTCTGTACATTTCTCCACTTTTACACATTAAATTTTATGAAATTAGTGTAAAGTGTAGAGAGCGACTGTGTGTGTGGTGAGTCGGGCAGATTGTTTGTTTCTGATAAATCTTATTACATACAACTGACCAATAAAAATGCTTAATTTAACATCTGTAAATGTGATGTGGTTTGTTGTTAGTGAAATACTGTGTACTATAATTAAATAACATTTTTAAAATAATAATGCATGTGAATATTCTGTTACCTTGGGTCATCTTTGCTTGTTGTTCTAGCCTGCTTCAGTGAAGTTGTCCTTCCTCATTAAATTTTTACTTCTTACATCCAACCACTAGAGGGCACCAATGTGTCATATTGGTTTAAGTTCATCTCCACAGTGGTCACCAGCTTGTAGCTGTGAGCTTGTAGCATGATGTTTATATATATATATATATACCGTGTGTTATTGCCTTAACATTTTAGTGATATTTCATAGGATTATAATGGATTTGATAGATAAGTATCCATTATATATGCACATAAATTAGCCATCACTTCCAGAAAGGTCACAGAGACTAGAGACTAAAAGTTTAAAATCTTTATGTGACACCAGCAAGTGAAGCTTTAGAGATTCATGTAAAGAATTCCAGCTTACTGGTGCACTGTAGCTAAAAGCAGATAGACAATATAGTTACTTCAACAATATTTTCCTTGTGTGCAAGTATGCAAGTGCATACTTTGTTTCGATACAAGAAGCCAAGTTTTTACATCAGTTTACATGTGAGCATGTTAATACAGTGTCTAGCCATATACCAAGGTATTTGTACTCACTAACTCACTTTGTCACTTCAGTGACAAATCTCTTCAAAGTTGTGATTTTAAAAGCGTTAAACGGAGTGTTATGAAAAAAAAATGGCAAGATGGCTGCGTGAGCGACCAAAGAAACCCACAAATGTGAGTATTTTCTCCGTTAAAAAATTACAATAATCATTGTATTATCTTAGGTCAATGTCGTTTTAATGTATTATGGTAGTTTTCTTAATAACAAGCATTTAAAAAATTGCTAATAGCATGCTAATGTCTCGGTAGCTAGCTAGCTAACTTTCCCGTTCCACCTTAAATAGTCCGGCAGTATTGACGCCTGAAGCGCCAGAATGTAACTGCTGCATCATTTAAGGTGGAACAGGAACATTCGAACAAGAAGCTGGCGAACATCTGACTTCAGCTTCGTATCACCAAAGAATTAGCGGTGGGTGATAATAAATAATGTCTTATACCCCCTCTTTGAAGGCATATGATGCCCTAAATGTAAAGGTTGCTGAATTTTTCCCTTCTCTGCTATCACTGAAGACGGACCGGGTCGCCTACAGAGCACCGCTAGTAGCCTGTTAATGAAGCAATGTTTTAATTTGAGGGTTGTCCCATTTAGTAGGACACTCGAAAACAAGGGTGTAGGGGATAAAAAGAAGAAATGGGATTGGGCCTAATTTATAATTGTAAAAAGCTGATTGTAAGGCATTAAAAGAATGCTGCAGTTCTACCCACTGCAGTACCAATATAGTCAGCTGAGCATTACAAGATGGTGTCATCGGCATATAAATGTACACTGCAATCAACAACTGAGGTGGCAATATCATTAATATAAATATTATATAGTGCAGGTCTGAGGATTGCTTCTTGAGGGACCCCCCTTGGTTACTGGTAGAGATGTTACGCTCTTTACCAGAGCACTGAATCAGTGTCGACACTTTATGTTGCAAATGGTATCGATACGATGAGTCGGTGCCTCGCTTCAAATGCTGGAGTCACGTGATAACAGGCAATGACGCTTCGTTATGCCACTGAAACCGACTGATACACCCCGGGCTTATTCCATGGGGATTAAACTGGTTTACTTCAAACGGTTTCTGTTGTTTTTAGTAGTCATATTTTTTTTCTACCTTATTCCTGCATTGTTTGTACACTGATGCATAAATAAAATCTATAATTGGTCTATTTTTGTGTCTGAACCTATTCACACCCACTTTCCCAAAGCAAGTTCAAACGTGTGTGAAAAAAACCCAAACTCGAGGGTTTCCTCGGGAAAGACACAGACAGAAAACATCACAGAGCTTGTTCCGTTAATTAAAGATCTGGCTCAAGAAAGAGACCAGGGTCACAATTATGGGATCACTTTCGTTTAGCCAGCCAAAATAAAGTGAGATGTATGATATTTGACTAAACACTAATGTAATGGACAAATAAAGTTATTTTTAATACAATTTTCTTTGTCCATATTTAATATAAGATGGAAAATCATATGTCAGTGTTATATCTATGTTCAAAATATCAACACATTTGTAATTTGTAATAAAGGTTTATTTGTGCAAATAAACTTCAATGCAAATAAATGACAATCAATAGGAAACAGTCGTAGGAAATTGAACTGGACAATAGATGACAGCATGGAGCCAGGTGTCAAATGCTACAAAACACTGAACGATTTTCCGATACAGTTGGTTCAGCTGTGTTGATGTTTCGAAAAGCTTCGTAACATCTATCACTAGTTACCGGTAGTTTTACTTTGTTCCAGGGCCACATGTTTTAACCCTGAAGTGTGAGAAAAAACACTTGTTTATTCATATGCATAACTGAATTGGTTTTCCTGTGTGGCAGGTACCTAGTCCTGGTGATCTACCACCCTGCTGAGTTTAGCTCCAACTAATTTAAAGCACCTATTCCAGGTACTGAAGGCCTTCTGAGGCATCTGAAAATTAGTGCCAGGTGTGTTGGATCTCAACTCTCCCTCTCCTG